AGCTAGTTTAAGCATGGAAGCTCATGGTCAGATTGGTATTTTGGAGAGAACATTGCAACTTTTTTTTTTTTTGAGATACCAGTGAGGTGACAGTAATTTTTGCTGAATATAATAAATAAAAGTGCAACCCAAAAGCTATTTTTAAAGAGCCCTGGTACAGTTAAAAAGCAAACTAACTTTGAACTTTTATTAGCCACGGTGAGACACATGAAAGGAATATAAGTGGTGCCTCTATGAGGAGATACTTGGGAAGCAAAGCTCTGGTTGATAAAGTCAGCTTGTGGGCAAACAGAAAGAGGTTGTGCCAGTGATGGTGGCTGTAAAGTAAGGAGGTAAGGGTGTCTGTTCCTGAAACCTCCTCCATAAGAGTCAGCACCTAGCCCACCTGAGTGGGGCTCCACACCAAGAGGGTCTCATGGCTAGGACACCTGAGAATGGACTCTATGAACCAAGGACAAGAGAGGCCCAAGTTCTGCACAAGTGAATAATCTTAGGGCAGGGCCCACCTTGCTGGGAGAGAAGACAGGTCCTGCTAAGTTGGAAAACAAGGAGGTTCCTTTTCTAGGACAAGTTTTCCTCTGCCTTCCATAGCATGCTTCTACTTCTAAGAAATTGCTGACCACAAAGATGGCTCTTCTATTACTTCCCCTTCCTTTATTGAATTTGGGCATTCATTCAATAAATATTTATTAAGTGCTTGCTATGTTCCAAGTACCATTCTAGGTGCTAGGAGATCAGTGATGAACAAAATACGCAAGGTCTCTGCTTTTATGGAGTTTACATTCTGGTAGAGGAGACAGACAAGAAACCAGTAATGAAATTAGTAAAGAACATACTTTTAGGTAGTGGTGAGTGCTATGAAGATATTAATAAAGGATGATGTGATGAGAGACTGGATGGTAGTTCAAACATGGAAAGAAATAGGTGCATTTCAGAAATATAACGAAGGAAGAGTCACGGGATTTACTGTTGGATTAGATGTAGCATGGGAAGGAAATAGAGGAATCAATGCTGCTAGGCTTTAGTCTGAGGATCTGGCTAGTGGCATTTCTTGAGATGAGGAAAATGTGGGGAAGACAGTGTGAGGGGAAACAAGAAGTTGATATGCACTGTGAGGTGGAGATGGTGGCTAGGCATTTGGTTATAGGAATATGGAGTTCAGGGAAGAGGTCTAGTCTCAACAGAGAGATTTTGGAGTCCAGAATATAAGTAGAATTTAAAGCCTGAATGAGATAATCTAGGATAGTGGTCGGCAAACTGCGGCTTACGAGCCACATGCAGCTCTTTGGCCCCTTGAGTGTGGCTCTTCCACAAAATACCGACTTCTGCGCATGGGCCACGAAGTTTCAATCGCACTGTACATGTGCGCCTGCACGTAGTATTTTGTGGAAGAGCCACACTCAAGGGGCCAAAGAGCCGCATGTGGCTCACGAGCTGCAGTTTGCCGACCACTGATCTAGGATATGGTAGCCACTGCCACATGTGTCTATTGAGCACTTGAAATGTGGCTAGCCCAAATTGAAACGTACTATATGTTTAAAATGCAACCCAGATTTCAAAGACTTAGTAAGAAAAGAATGTAAAACATTTCACTTATATTATTTTTATAATGATTACATGTTGAAATGACAATAATTTGGTTCTATTGAGTTAAATAAAATATTAAAAGTAACATCACCTGCTTCTTTTTGCTATTAGAAAATTTAAAATTACAAATTATGTGGCTCATAGTAATATTTTCATATAATGACATGGGTCTAAGAAGTGATTGTAGATACATTAGCAGGAAGGCCCAGGTTAGAACCCTCAGGTGCTACAACATTTCAAATTTAGTGGAGGAAAAAGAGCCAGCAAAGGAGATTAAGAGGGAACAGCCAATGAGGAAAACTAGAGGAGTGCTGTTCATGATAAAGGCAAGTGATACAATTATTCAAAAGGAGGGAGTGTCCTGCTGCTATGATGTCAAATAAGTGTCTGTTGAATTTAACATGGGCAGTTTTGGTGAGGTAGTTTAGAAGCCATTCCATTTGGAAGCCTGATTGGAGAGAGTGCAGGTGAATAAGTGGAGACATAAATATAGTAAGTATAGATAATTCTTGAATTTTGCTTTAAAGAGATGCAGAGAAATGGGGTGGTAACAGGAAGAGGATATCCCATCGAGGGGAGCTTTGTGTGTTTTGTTGTAGTTGTTGGTTTGTTTGTTTAGAAGGGGAGATAGCTCAGCAGATGGTGGTGCTGTCTTCGGGGGGCCCCAGGAGTCAGTTGGGGAAATAAGGCAAGTGTACCAAAAAAAATTTGAGACAGTCTAAACTCAAGAGCTAGTTAAATGGAATGATAGTTAAATTGAATTATTCTATTAGTGCTTAGGGATTCCGATGCTGCCAAGATGCCCCCTTTCTTTGTTCTCCCTTTAGTCTTCCATACAGGGTGGGGCAAAAGTAGGTTTTTGGTTGTGAGTACGAGAAACAGTTTATTCTTGTATAAGTAATCGTTAATTATTGCATTATTTTCCATATAAATAACTGCAAACCTACTCCCCCCCCCCACACCCTATATATTTTCTCTTTGGTTGTTTTTTCCCTTTCTTTTACTCTTGACAGTGGATCAAGGACACTGTTAATTTGCTATGGCCCAGTATTTTGGAAAACAGGCTCCTTTTTCATGTACTTCTCTAAAGCTCAGAGATAGTTTATTTCTGCAGTGTCTGAAAAGCTTTCCTTAACTCTTAACATTTGCAACAGCATGGATGGGTCTGGAGAGTATTATGCTAAGTGAAATAAGCCATTCAGAGAAAGATAACTATCATATGATCTCACTTATATGTGGAATCTAATGAACAAAATGAACTGATGAATTAAATAGATCCAGAGACATATAATCATGGAACAGCTTAATAACTGTTAGAGGCAAGATGGGGGTAGAGGGGTGAAGGGGAGAGATTATCCAGGGAATTTATATGCATGTATGCATAACCCATGGACACAGAATATAGTGTGCTGAAGGCCTGGGAGGGGCAGGGGCGGGGTGGAGGGGGTCAAAGGGAAAAAACAAAGAGGACATCTGTAATATTTTCAACAATAAAAATAAATTAAAAAATAAAACATAGTTCTGAAAAAATGAAAATAAAAAGCTTTCCTTAGGGCAGGAGTGGGGTGCTGCTATATTTATTAAGATGGTCCAGAAACTCACCAGTGATGGTCCAAGCAACTTTTCTGTTCTTCTGAATTTCTGAGGGGTTTCTGAATTGCCCTACCCCTTTGCTTCTTCCAGATGTCCAGATGGAATGTGTGTGTATGTGTGTGTATGTGTGTGTAAACTAGTGAGCACTATATAAGTCTGGGGCTTAGTCATCTTCAGGCAGAATTGTGATATTGGCTGATAGAGTTTGAGTGACTTGAATAACATCTTTCAGCCAAAGCCCACCAGGAACACACCTGTTGTTGAACAAGTTGGGTTTATTATTCATTGCAACGAGAAATAATTCACACCATAAGCCTTTTCAGTGAGAGAGTCTGAAGCCATCCTGACACCAGAGCCTCAGTCATTCTCACTGGGTGACCGTACAAGTTCACCTTAACCTCAGAGCCTGTGATCACCTCTCTCTACTTCCAGAGGTGTATAAGGGGCTTATGGCTATAAACAGCAGCACAGATGGGTCTGGAGCCCATCCATTAAGCTGCACGGACAGCCTGGGAGTAGAGAAGATCTGGAGAGGTGGCACTCCAGAACCTACTTAACCCCACTTGATGGCACTTGCCTCTCTACAAGCCCTCTTGTTGTGTGTAGGAATACAGCACCCTTTCTCTGTTATGGTGCCCTTCATATCCCCCCAAAAACTCCCATAAAAATGTCAGCATTGATTTATAAAAGTTTGAATATCAACTGACATGCTTCCCTAGACCTATCATTCCTAGCTTTTGCTAGAAGGCTAGATTGAGTTGAAAATTTACAGTTGACTCTCAATTGTATATCTGCACTATGGAAAAGAGCTTAAGGAAAGATAATTCTCCCACAACATGGAATCAGTAAAGGTGAAATTTTTCTTTTGATGATCACTCTGATTGTTTCCCACTTTTGGTTGTGTAAAACAATGCTGTGATAAGCATTCTTGCATGTATATTTTTGTATACAAGTGTTAGTATATCCACAGGGTAAAGTACTAGCAGTGATGATACTGAATCAAACGGTACATGGATTGAACCTGCAACCCAGGTATGTGCCCTTGACTAGGAATAGAACCTGAGATCCTTTGGTTCACAGGCCTATGCTCTAACCATTTAGCCACTGGCCAGGGCTAGATCAAATTTTTTACATTTGTCTTTTTGGGGGGTGGGTCACAGCTTTATTGAGATATAATTCACATACTACACAATTAATTCATTTAAGGTATAAAATCAATGCATTTTAACATATTCAAAGATTTGTGTAACCATTTGCTCTGGTTGGGTAGCTCAGTTGTATATTATACATTTTGCTGATCTGACAAAAAAAATAGGTATAATTTTAATTGATTTACAACAAAATAATAATCTACCTTTTTTTTTTGCTACAAAGTGGCTTTAAAAAAATAAGGTACCTATACTTGTATATAAGGATTTCTGGTACCAAGAATTAACCAATCAGACCCAACCCTATTATGTGATGTGACTAATAATATGCAACTCTATTATATGACCTATATATTTATAATTCAAGACAGGGCATTCACACAGGACAGTTATTGTTGTGATTACTGCTGTAATTTTTAATTTGACAATCTAAGGGAAAAGAGGTCAGTATCCCTGACTAGTCAGGTATAGCATGTTTTTAAAATTCTTGTGGTACACCGGTTAAAAATCGCTGCTCTAACTGAAGGATAAGGAGTAGGGTAAAATGATTATATTATGTTCTGAATATCAAATGATTTTTTTCTGAGAAAATGCCTTTTTTATTGTCTAAAGTTTTCAAATGATGATCTTTTGCTTTTTTACTCTATATTTTACTTTAGTGTTGATCCTACTATGGCTGCATCACTAAGGGAAGCTTCTGCCAATCTGGAAGTTCTGGAGGCCAGACATGAGGGTAAGTAACTCCATAAAATCTTGATAACTACAAATAGATTTATTTACTATGTTTAACAACCCTAGGAAAGAAAATTAAGTCACAAGCAAACAAGTTCATATCAAATTTCTTACATTAGGCTCAGTCCACATTTACTTTTTAGTCTTCTAACCTCTTCACTTTCATTTCCAATCTGATACTCAAAAAGTTTGCCTGAGGCCCTGCAATCTTATTTGGGGATTGTTAATATGTTCTACTTACTAAGGCAGGGGAAGTGTTTCTGTTTAATCAGGAAAAAAAATCAGAACAGCCCATGATCAGAGAGATTCAACTGAGGCTTTACTGTAGCTAGTAATCCAGATTTAACCAAGAGTAAAGGGGAGATAGAAACAAAAGATGCCATCATAGGCTTCTGTTAAATAGGATTCAATTAAAACATTTTCTTATTGCAAAACTTACTCAGATGTTTATCATTGCCTAAATTATGGTGCCAACTATGAGTGATGGGTGTCCATGAGTGATAGAAAGGGATGCAAAAGTTACTAAAAAATATTAAACTTTATTGACACTAAAAAAAGGAAAAAGAGGAATCTAATATCTGAAATGAGATATTGAACTTAAAGACAAAACTGGCTTTAATAACTCACTGAGTTGTTCTCAATTTTTTCTGCACTTTCTTAGTAGTATATGGTGTAGAAAGACTTGGTATGGAAGGATAGAGAGAGGGTAATCTTCTTGGGGCTTCCTGGGGGCCAGACTTCACTGATGATGTGGGGTGGAGGATACTGAGCATGGTACATGGATCTTTGAGGAGAGAGTTTGGGTATTCATCTCTGTGTCACCATTGTTTAGTATTGGGCCTCAGAGAGAGTGATTAGACACTCAAAATTTATAAAGAATGAATTAAATAAATGAATGATAGTCCTCCTCACCTAGGCAGCCCCAAACACTAAACCAACTGACCTATCTTTTTGTACATGAGCTAGATATAAGCCTACAAAAGAAGATGGCAATGCAATGCAGCTTGGTGAAGAATGAAGGTAAGGAAATGCCTTTTCCCTATCCCCAAGATTTTTTGCTGTTAATCCTCACCCGATAATGTCCTTCCATTGATTTTTAGAGAGAGTGGAAGGGAGAGGGAGAGACAGAGAGAAATATCAATATGAGAGAGAGACATCGGCTTGTTGATTCCTGTATGCATTCCCACCAGGGCGAGGGATCAAGCTTGCAACCGAGGTACATGCCCTTTACCTGATTCAAACCTGAAACCCTTCAGTCTGAGTGCTGACACTCTGTCCACAGAGCCAAACCGGCCATGGCCCTAAGATTTTTTTAAAAGACTAAACATTTGAGTACATTTTTAGTATTAGTCATTGCTAGCCAGAGAATAAGGTGGTTATTGGGAGGTTGAAGGGAAGAAAGGCTAGTTAGAAATGTTTTCTTTCCAAGCAGCAGTGCAAGAGAACAAGGTCACCATTATGTGATGCATTTTTAAAGCTAAGTTCAACTTAGACGAGCTGCCTGTGTGCATGGTGGATAAGCAAATATACAACTCAGCAGCAATGATTCCATCATTGGATTTAATGGTGTTTTCTTCTCTGGGGGAAAACCTGCCTGCCATGGGCCATTTTCTGGCATGTGACACACTGCAGGCCCTCATTGGATGAGGATGTTGAAAGCTACTGCCTGTTTGAGAATATATAGTCCTTAGGCTTGGATAGGGAAATGAATGGCTTAGTTGTAGAAGTCCAGACAGCTGTCAGCTCTCAGTTGTCAGCTCACTGACCACCACTGCTGTACCTTATGGGGCATAAAGTACCCAGTGTATAGGTGACCTACATAAACATTACTGGATACAAGTGTGCGTTTTGACCCAAATCTGCTGTATAGGTCTATCTACCCTTACACTTTTAGCAAATCTTGAAACCAACCCTCACAGGACTCAGCTGCTGGCAATTTAAAGGCATCCCCTTACAAAGAAAGCTTGAAAGACCAGTTTATACATTTTAATACATGGCAACTGTCTCGGATTCCATTAAGGGTTCAAAAGTAACATAGCATTTGGACAGTTCCCAGCTTTGTAGCTCACACCCAGGGTTGGTCTCCATACATGGAGTCTGATGTGGTTCATGATGGGGAGGTCTCCTAATCCAGAGGAGGCTTAAGACTTGGCATCTTGCAGCTTGCCTTGCACTGTGCTACTTGTTAAAGGGGTTTTAAAGAGGGCCTGCCTACAACCTTGATGAGGGGACAGTAGCTAAGACTTAGAACTATATCTTATTCCTTTCACATGATACACAAAATGTAGTAAGTGCTTGATCTTAATAAATATTTGTTGAATAGATGAACGAACTAATTAATGTGCAGACTAGAGAGCATTCAGATACAAATGCTCTTTTGGTGCTAACACTCAAGTTTTAAGTATGCAGAGAGAAGCATGAACTTGAGAGAAAAGTGAATGTCTAGTGCAATGGTTCTCAACCTGTGGGTTGCGCCCTCTGTGGAGGTCAAACGACCCTTTCACAGGAGTCGCCTAAGACCATCGGAAAACACATATATAATTACATGTTGTTTTTGTGATTAATCACTATGCTTTAATTATGTTCAATTTGTAGCAATGAAAATACATCCTGCATATCAGATATTTACATTACGATTCATAACAGTAGCAAAATTACAGTTATGAAGTAGCACGAAAATAATTTTATGGTTGGGGGTCACCACAACATGAGAAACTGTATTAAAGGGTCGCGGCATTAGGAAGGTTGAGAACCACTGGCCTAGTGAGTGAGACCTAAACAGAGGCTGCCCAAACACCACACAGAAGCTCGTGCCTGAGCTTCTGCACTTACCAGCAATTCAGATACTTTGTCACACCAAAAAGTTTCCAGGTCGATTCCAGGTCAGAGCACATGCCCGAGTTTCAGGCTCAATTCCCAATAGGGGGTGTGCAGGAAGCAGGAAGCAGGAAGCAGCCTATCAATGTTTCTCTCTCTCCCTCTCCCTTCCTCTCTCTAAAATTAATAAAAAGCATATCTTTTTTTTTAAAAAAGAACAAACCAAATGAATGGTGCTATGGTCCCTGGTAGCAAGAACCAAGATCTGCAGGGCACCTGGAATCATAGTCCTTCTTCATATCACAGAGACCCTGTTTCCTCTCTTGTCTTCCCTCCCACCATCACACTATGTATCACTTTCATTCCTAACTTCTAGGAAAGAAGAAATCTAAATTTAAAGCCTTCAAGAATTTTTTTGGCAAGAAGAAGAGAAAAGAGCCTGAAGGTATCCAGAGAAGAGGAAGCAGCTTGAAACCAAGCTCGTCCAACAGCAGCATCAACAGCTCTTCTCTGAATCTGGTTCAGGAAGGTCAACAATCTACATTTAGGTAAGCTCTCGGGAGCTGGTGTGAGGGGGTTAGAGGGGGATGGGGACAGATTGCTAGACTCAGGTCCCCCTTTTGTAGCCAATCACTGGTGGGCCTTCGGTTCCAGGGACTTTTGGCCTCCATGCCTGTGGAGGCTGGGTTGGTGGCCATTGTCAATGCAGCCATTTCTCAGTGTCCTTTCTCTGTGCTCACGTGTAGACTTGTCTGGGCCGCACAGCTCAATAGGTTGGAACATGATAAATGCACAACCCATTCCCCAAGAGCTCTTGGTGGAGGGCACAATAGATCAAGGAAACCTTCCCCTGTCATAGCTACAAGAACTTGAGAAACGGGGTCTACCACTAGAGCTGCAGGCCTCTGTTTTATAAGGTAATAATAGCCTACATTATTCAGGAAGCTTGGTCTGGTTTGTTTGCCTGGCCCTCAGACTGTAACTCTGTGATTACTGGGTGAGGGGAGCTAGATCTCAGAATACGTAAATAAAGTATCAGTGAAGCCATCTAGCTGAGTTGGGGGTATAAGTGTGAAGTCACTGTATTAATGTAAAAATGAACAAATAAGCACGAAAACAAAGAACCCAAATCCATTTCTCCCTCTGTCCCAGGAGACTAGGGGAAATGTTATAACTGTTCACAGAAGGGATGGGGAAGATTGTTTCTGCCCCTGCCACCCCTATTCAAAGTTTCATCTGTGATGCCCCATTTTCCATATCCTATTGTTGAAAATCTGGACACCCAGTACCATCAGCTGTTCCTAGCTCAATTGGATCCCCCTCTATGGAGTTCCACTTGGGCCTGTTCTCCTGACCTTAAATTCTAGACTTATCTGAACTCCCCACAGAGCTCACCTGTGCTTCTCCTCATTCTCTCAAGGCTTTGCTTAGTGGTGATGGTACAGTTAGCAAACATGTTATACTGCCCCCTAACAGCTAGCAAATAAGTGTCCTTAAGGAGGACCTTAATGAGTGCAATGAATATGAGGAATTTCAGATAGCTTTGCTAGTGGGAAAGATGGTTTTGGACAGGGGCTTGTTTCATACCTCAAAAATCATACCATTAGAGACCATGGTCTTATAGCTCCAAATAAGGCTAAGACAAGCCCTGCTAAAAACAGAAGGATGGGGTGGGGAAGGGCATTTGGGTTGACTCCATGCTGTCTCTACAAATTGGCAAGGGCTGTCTCTACTAAAATTGTATATTTCCCCTTCTTACTTGCCCCTCCCCCTCCAAGATGGTCCATTTAGTTTGCCACATTCTCCACAAAGAAGGTGTGTGCAGGTGCATCTCTCTGAGATGGGTGGGGAAAGGAGGGAAGGAGAGAGAATGAGAATGAGAGGGAAAGGGAGTGCGTATAAGTGCATGAGCGAGCTCATGTATGAGTAAGGGTGCTTTTCTAAGGAACTGAGATAAGTCTTTATTTTGCAAGGAGCATAAATTAATTGAATATAATGTGGGAGGTCTGAGGATTACTCCTGACCCCAGATTCTTGCTTAATGTTATGTGAATTTTACCTCAACTATATATAGTCTACATATTGAAATCCAAGAGTCACTTGCTTGTAAACAATGTTGGGAGAATGATTAATATGTGATTACACAGCATCTCCAGCAGTAATTGGTTCTGTTGTTGCGTGATGTGACTTTCTGCAGCAGTTTTAATGCGTGCAGATGTTTCACAGATGCTAAGCCACACCCCAGCCATGTGCATTTGCTAATCTCAGTGACTGGTGAATGCACACATTTACTAGGCCTATACAGTATAAATTTAAAATGATAGTAATACATATAGAAAACTTTTCTGTGAAATTAAACTTTTCATACATTCATAATTTTGATTACACAAACATATCTATATAAGAAAAACAGGTGAATTTTCAATTTTTAACATGCGCATTTGGAAAACCTAACTTTATTATATAATGGACTTTCTGCTTAAGCGGACATCCTTTTGCTTGAATTAGTCCGTTATATTGAGGTTTTACTGTATTTAATTTTTATGAAATCCATCTATCTATTTTTTCTTTTGTCGCTTAAGCTTTTTGTGTCATATCTAATACATTGCCAAATCCAGATAATGAACATATACCCCTATGTTTTCTTCTAAGAGTTTAAGCTCTCATATTTAGGTTTTTGACCAATATTGAGTTAGTTTTTATATAAAGGCTGTCCAAAAAATGTATATACATTTTGAATAATTATAAAGTCAGTGTTTATGAACATACAGTTCATTTAAAATTTTTAAAACAATCTATCAAAATGAATAATTTCTTTTGTCAATGCCTGTTTTCAAACTGATGACTGTTCTGGTCCAGGCACTACTGATAACAAAGCAATGGAATCTCAAACATCAAGAATCATTTTGTTCAGTATTTGTGTGCCCTCAATTCATTGACTGTTGCCAGTTTTATACTGTAAACTGTATTATTTATGAATCCCTATTAAAAAAGTTTAGTGGCACTTTAGGATGAATTTTCTTTGTTCAAAACTTAGTCTGGCTTTACCCATTATTTAAAATCAGTTAAACCTGAAAAAGAGTGAAAATTAAGTGAGTTATCAGCTATTAAAGTGTTTATACATTTTGGGGGGATACCCTATACAATGTAAGATAAGAGTCCAACTTTATTCTTTGCGTGTGGCTATCCAGTTGTCCCAGCACTGTTTGTTGAAAAAACTATTCTTTCCCCCACTGAATGGTCTTAGCACCCTTGTTATAAGTCAGTTAACCAGAGGTGAGTGAGTTTATTTCTGGATTCTCAGTTCTATTCCATTGATCTATGTCTACTCTTAGACCAGTGCCAAACTGTAGCTTTGTAGTCAGTTTTGACAGTGGCAAATATGAGTCCTTCAAATTTCTTTCTTTTCAAGATTGTTTGGCTATTTTTGTTCTTTTGCATTTCACTGTGAATTTTAAAATCAGCTTGTCCATTTATGCAAAAAAAAAGCTTAAAGGCAGCTGGAATTTCATTTAATATCTCATGAACAACTTTTTGTCTCAGCATTTATTCATCTCTACCCTCCTTCCGTGATGTCTGTCATAAGCCATATTATAGATATACATGTGTCTTTGGTTCCTATGGCCCTTGGGCTGCTTTTACAAGACTGTTTCCTTCTTTTCTAGGGTCAGGGGAAACATGAGCAAATCCCTTTCCCATGAAAGCGTCTTCAGGTCGAAGTCTGAGCTTGAAAGCCCAGAACGTAAAATATACCCCTCTCCAGAGCCCCAGAGTGGCAGATCTCTGAAGGTAATACTGAACTTGAATATCAGTGCCTATTTGGACTACTCTTCCTCCATTTCCTATTCCTACCCCACCAAAAAAGGAGGGATGAATTTCGCCTTCTCTGCTGATTCTACCTCCACAGGGCTCTTGTAAACATTGAATGAGAGAATGTACTTTAAATATATGATGTGCTTACCTAGTGCTTGTCACATAGTGTTGACTAGTGTTACCATATTCACTTTATTTGACACACCCAAGAATTTAAGTATTATTACAGTGACATCACACTGTTAACGTGCAAGTATTCTAACCTCCATGTTTTTTCTTTCTTCCACAGAGAGCTCATATTTCCAGAACTCTGTCTATCACTAGTAGTGTGCATAGACCTGTTTCTGGAACTCTGCTTGGAGTTATACCCCATTACGTGCACAGAAGTGGAATCTGGATTGGAGGCTCCAAGATCACTGAGGTAATAGAGTAGAATTGTTCAAAGTATGGCATCTGAGTCAAACAGACAGACAGACCTATGCTTGAATTCTTAATCTGCTACCTATTGGCTCTATAACCTTGGACTGATTGCTTAACCTCCATGAGCCTTCCTTTCCTCATTTACACTGGGTATAATATTAATATCTACCTCAAAAAGTTGCTTGTGAGGATTGATAAAGACACATAGAGGTTTAAGAAATTGCTCAAGATCTCCCAGATAGTAAGTGATAGACTTGGAAATCTGATCCAGTTGTGTTGACTTTAAAACACGTGGTCTTTCCATTAGCACAGTCTCTAAGATGCTCAACTTCTTTATACCTGCTTCAACAGGGAGAAGGGTACGCATTTAGTCTCCACAAAATGCAGCATGTGAGTTCAATCCTCAGTAAAGGTACATAGAATAATCAAATAATGAAATAAGTGGAACAACAAATCCATGTCTCTCCCTCCCTCCATCTCTGGGAAGGCCACACAGGGAAGAGACCCTTCTCCACTGGAGAGCTGATTATTCCATATTTGGCAAAAGGTTACTTGGGTTTATTTTTTATTGATTGATTGATTTGGGAGAGGGAGGGAGGGAGAGACAGAGAGAGAGAAAAGGCTATTGGTGTGTAAGCTAAGGCTATGGGTCTTTGGTTTGAATAGGTACTAGAAGTGAAAACAGGGAGGTAGAAGATTCTTTCTTTGGCATGTTTTTTTAACTTCGGGTTCTTAGTCCTTTAACCATTAAGCAACAAGAAAACATGCATAATTTGGAGGAAAGTACCCAAGTTTTAACTTTTTTCCTTTTATACTCCTCCTTAACAGATTCCACCACTGCGCTCATGCCAGCCCATCAACCCAACCCTGATACGATCTGACACAATCCCTAAGGACTTTGAAGAAATCTCTGCTGCTGCTGAGTCACCTAAGACCCCACAAAAGGCTTTTCCACCGATGTTGACAACGGAAAAGGTTAGCCCCATCCTAAGTGGCAGGTTGTGTGGGGGTAGTGGTAGGTGGAGCACAAGTCAGAGGCATAGTTTCTTCTTGAGTTTTATTTTCTCCTGTTGTAGCTCAATACTAGGAAGATTAGTGGGGAAGGAGAGGCCATTCTTGGTTATTTATTTACATGGTCATTTACATTTTCTATCCAATTCTAAAAGCCAAATAATTAGTCTTCAAGTTATAAGCAATAGGCCATATCTGAACAAAAAATAGTTTCCAGATGTTTTCAGTTATTTCGGGAAGAAAACAATGGAGATTTTGATGGAAGTAAAGCCTCTACAGATTTAATGCCAAAATTTTAAGGTTAAGGCATGCAGTATTATTTGAGAGACATATATCCATATGAAAAAAATCATTTGACATATGAGAGGGCATGCATGTGTATTTCATATACCTAAGTTTGTCAACCAAATAATATTCATCAACAATTGGAATATGAATAGATTGTGCCCATATGAACATTTCTATTCTCAAACTAATGTGTAGTTAATTTGTTATTGAACTTGAGAGGGCTTTTAAAGTGAAGTAGAATTTTGAACAATTAACATTGGGAACTAAAAAGTAAACAGAAAGGTAATTTATAATGAAGATAATTGGCCAGTCAGCAAAAAACTATGTTTTGATGTTAAAAGATTCTATAGCGAGAAGTAGCCTTCAGTTAAATATGTCAACCAAAAAAAAAAAAAAAAAAAAAAAAAGCCAAAACAAAACAAAACACCAATTAGGTTAGGACCAAAGGTAAAGCACAGGCTGGCGGTAGGGAGATGGATGCTCACTGATTTATGGATTTAGGCTATGATTATAAGTTTTTTTTTCCTGCAGAATATCACAAAATCAGATGACGGGACATTTAGTCTGAATTGGTGGAAGGATTGAATTAGATAATTTTATTGAAGTAAAATTCACATAACGTAATTTCTCATATTAAAGCGTATGATCCAGTGGCTTTAAGTATATTCACAACATTCTGCAACGATCAACACTATCTAATTCCAAAATAGTTTGTTTCCCCAAAAGGAAGCCCCATACCTATTAAGCAGTCACTCATCATTCCTCCCTCCTCTCTGGATTTGTCAATTCTGCACACTTCATATAAATGTAATCATACAGTATGTGGTCTTTTGAGTCTGGCTTGTTTCACTTAGCATAATGTTTTTAAGGTTCATTCATGTTATAGCACATATCAATACTTAAGTCCTTTTTATGGCTGAGTAATATTCCATTGTATGAATGTACCATGTTTTGTTTAGCTATTCATCTATATCTGCATATTGGTTATAAATATTGCTGCTGTGAACATTCATGTATAAGTTTTTGTTTAAACACCTGTTTTCAATTATTTTGGGTATATACCTCAGAGTGGAATTGCTGGGTCATATGGTAAGTCTATGTTTAACTTTTTGAGGAGCCATTAAACTGTTTTCCCTAGCAGATACCCCACCTTACATTCCCACCAGCTATGTATGAGGGTTCCAATATATCCACATGTTGGCCAACTCTTTTCATTTCCTCTTCTAAAAATAATAGTCATCCTACTGGGTATGAAGTGGTATCTCATTGTGATTTTGATTTACATTTCCATAGTGACTAATAATGTTAAGTGTTTTTTGATGTGCTTATTGACCATTTGTATATCTTCTTTAGAGAAATGCCTATTCAAGTTCTTTGCCCATTTTTAAATTGTTTTTGTTATAGTTGTTGTGGGTGAGTTGTAAGAGCTCTTTATATATTTTGGATACTAGACCCTTACCAGATATATGATTTGAAAGTATTTCCTCCTATTCTGTGAGTTGTCTTTAAACTCTATTCAAGAGAACAAAATTGGTCAAAATTTTAAACATTTTGTAAGGTTTAATTTATTACTTTTTTTCTTTTGATACTTATGCTTTTGAGTCATATCTAAGAAACCATTGCCAATATAATATCATGAAGGTTTACCTCATTTTCTCCTAAGAGTCTTAGCTCTTATATTTAGGTCTCTAGTCCATTTTGAGTTATTTACATATGGTGTGAGACATGGTCTACATAACTTCATTCTTTTGCATATAACTGCCCAGTTATCCCAGCACCATTTGTTGAAAAGGCTATTCTTTCTTCCATTTAATGGTCTTGGCACCTTTGGTGCAAATAAATAGATGAATGGGTTTATTTCTGGACTCTCAGTTCTGTTCCATTCCTTATGCCAGTACTGCGCTGTCTACTTACTGTAGCTTTGTAGTAAGTTTTAAAATTTATTTTATTTTTAATTTAAAATTTTTATTGATGAGAGAGATGGAGAGAGAGAGAGAGTTGTTGTTGTACTTATTTATGCATTAGTTGGTTGATTCTTGTATGTGCCCTAACTGGGGAACCCATAACATTGTATCAGGATGATGCTCTATCCAACTGAGCTATCTGGCCAGGGCCAGGTGTATTGTTGACTGAACTATATTTTACTGGGTCTAGAAACATGACAGAAGGGGGAAAATACTAAAATGTGTTTTATTTTTCCAAAGAGCAGCCTTACCCCAATTAACAACAAAGAAGTGTCCAGAACCCCTATCAACCAGTGCTACGGACCCTTTCCCCTGGCCTAAGGCCTAATCCTGATTCCTCCCCCAGAAAGATTCAAGTTAGTAGGCGCCAGGCCTGGTACATCTCACAGATGTTGAGGTGAAAGGACCTTATTTAACTCCAGCTGTTAACCAGAAGTTGTCTGTGCCAACCTCCCTCGAAAACACAGGAGAAAGAATGAAAACATTTTACATTGGGTACATAGAGGGTGTTTTGGTTCTCAGCATGCAGGGATGGAGGAGTGGGTTGTAGGAGGGGTGCGGGAGGAAAAGTAGAGAAAGGAATCCCATTTCCTTCCCTCAATTTTCTTTCAGAAACCTGCCAGAAAAGGATTCTGTTTGCTTTTCCTAAATAGCTCATAAAATCCTATGGTTGGCTCCTGTGGTAACTTTTCTAGGTTTCTCCTAACCAATATGGCTAAAGGAAAAGGTAGGGCCTTAGAAAGAGCCCTACTTCCCAAAGGGGTTTCAGATATTTCTGGTTTCTGTTTTAAGGGAACTGACAGTTAATCACTTGGCCTTCAAAGGGGCTTCTGCTAACACAAATATCTGGAGATTCTTAGGAATGAGAGTTGCTCTGGGGTGCATCTTCGAGGTGTGAAAAATGCTATGTCAGGAATCCCAGAGGATACTTTTTTGAATCCCCTACAGAGGAACCCAACTAGGAGCTCCAGGATCAGATAGTTTGCAGAGGTGGAAGCTAGCCATAATGAGGACAAGGAGACATGCTCCATACCCACACCATTGGGGGTGGGAGCACTCAGTTCCTCAGGGTGCTCCCATCAGCTTTGTATCCATTAACAGTAATATAAGTAAAGGTAGTGTGTTGTTTATGTAAACTTAGCTTATAGGCCTCTTCCAACCTGATTTTCTGCCCTCCACTGAGCCCCCTTATAGAGAAATACCAGAATGCTGATGGGTTTTACTGACACCAATTGTGCCTTCATCCCTATCAGCTCCTCCTGTTAATAAAACAGGGGTACAGCCCTGACCGGTTTGGCTCAGTGGATAGGTCGTCGGCCTGCTGACTGAAAGGTCCCAGGTTTGATTCCGGTCAAGAGCATGTACTTTGGTTGCCGACACATCCCCAGTGGGGTGGGGGTGTGTGTGCGCAGGAGGCAGCTGATCGATGTTTCTCTCTCATCAATGTTTCTGGCTCTCTATCTCTCCCCCTTTCTCTCTGTAAAAAAAACCCAAACCAATAAAATATATCAAAATATATTTAAATAAATAAATAAATAAATAAATAAATAAATAAAAAAAACAGGGGTACAAGGCAAGAGAACATGCACACCCTGTCACCTTGTTAACTCCATTAAGTGGTTGGGCTCCTGTCCCAAGGGCAAAAGGGAGCCACTGAATACTTTCTAAGTAGAGGAGCAACCTGAACTTCTTGTTTCTTGTTTTCACCTACCAGGGAACAATCAGAAATTGTTCCCCTTGCCACTAATGAGCCTATTGACCTGAAGTGTCAATATTCCTGTAGTAAAAAGAGACAATTGTTCATGAAGGATTTCTGCTTTAGGAATTCTTCAGCCAGAGGGATGTCCAACTTTGGAGACCAGTGATAGTGTATGGAGTTGACTCATTTCTTTTCTTCCACTTTCTTCAGAGCTCCTTTGAGCCCTCATCTATACCCATGCGTGCACAGTCCTTGACAACATTTGCCACGCTCACCTCTCCCAGCAGTCCCCAGCTATCCGTTAGTTTCAGCACCCCAGCTACCACCCAGGGCTGTTTGGATTCTTCAGCTGCTCGACACAAGATGGCTTTAAACCCCCGAAAACAAAAGAAGTACCTTCAAGCGACTGTAAGTCCTTCAAGAGGCCTGGGAATAAACTCCGATGTGACTAAGGATGAGTTCCAAGCTTTGCAAACTACACCTAGGGAAGTGGTATGATTTGGAGGATCCATAGGCTAAGTAGAGGTGGTAAAGTCAAGGGTACTGTCCCAGGATTTACACCCCCAGGGAGGTGACCAAACTTAAATTTAGTGATTGGGATGTCCTATGCATGTGGAACTTACATAAAAGAGACTGAAGAAAATAGAAACAGTAATCTAAATTCCTAGAAACTGCTTATTGTATTAGCATCAGGAATTCACTCAACTTTTTGTAGAGGATATTCAACCATAGCCCAAAATTAGGATTCTTTTAATTATTAATCAAGTAAGACCCATGTGTTACAAATTGCAGCACTGTTCCACTCATTTGGGATAACTCAAAGCATTCAAAACTCAGCTATTAACACCCCCCCCCCAAGATCTCTCAGTATCATATTGATGTCACAAATTACTGTTTACGACTTTCAAGCAGATAGAGCTACACTTAGTGAGCCAATTCTGTTAAAAACATGGCCATAGTTCAGATTCAGAGATCTGACAGCAAGGAAAAGTAACAGTTGATAGCAGAGAGGGGCCATTTAGTACAGGGATCAAGAACCTTGCCCACCTTTATAAGTCCCTCAGGGCCACAGTATATCATAATCCAATGTAATAGGTCATGTTCATTATTTGCCTGAGTCATCAAGAAAAGTTAAACTATGTTCCCTGATCTCTGTTTAGGAAGGTAGGAAAGTAATGTCTTTGGGAAAGATTTTTACTAAAAGCTAAGAATTAAATATGCTAATGTTTATAAGGATGTGTCAGTTAGCTGGAAGATTGATTCACTTTGGTCAAACACTAATTTCTCAGTGACAGTGGGCTATAAGTATAAGGCTGTAAATCAAAGCTGAAAGAGTCTAAATGATTTCATAGTTTTAGTATTTTACAGGAAGGAAATTAAAGCACAAATAGTTGCCCAAGGTCAAACACCCTATTGGTGGCAGAGCTAAGGCCAGAACCCAGTCTTCTGACTTCCAATCCAGTACTCTTTTCACCCCGCCATGTTGCTCCTTGATTAGACATCTCAATTTAGCTTTAGAAAAAGAACAAATACAACTTGAAAGAACAGTAGGCAGGGCAGCAGGCCCAGGGGGCCTCTGGTGGACCTGAGAGAATTTCCTTGGTTCAGTGTCAAGCAGAGAATCACCAATTACTACGCACTAAACCCTGTGTATGCATTATCATCTTGACCCGTCACAAACCTGGGAGATGGGGAATGTTGGTTAAGGGAAACTTAGTGTGACCCTTCTGACTTCCTTCTGCATCACCTCATTGAGGAAAGACCTGGGTATCACTCTTTAAAAAGGCTGGAACATCTACTTCTTCTTTCTGACTCTCTACCTGACACTCAAATGAATATAAATGGGTACAGGATCATATATGACGCAGAAGCTGCTGCCACTTGCTCTCTGCTTTAGAATTTCTTAGGTCTTCAAGTCCCATAGGAGGTTTCCCTTATCTCTAATTTATAGATATGGACACGGAGATTTAGAGAATAACTTGTCCAGGGATCTACAGAGAGTAAATGATGGAGCAGAGATTTGAACCCAGGTCTCTGACCACATTTACTCAGAAGTAATTTTGAACTGAGCCTGACAGGCATGTCAAGTGGGAACATAAAGAGTTGTATTTTTGTCTTTAGATGCATGTCATAAAGGCTTACGTTAAGCAAATTCTGGACACTGTTCAATACAGTGCTACTCTGACATGTCTAAAGCTGCACTGTAATTATCTGAAAACCTTGTTTATTCTAAACCACTTTTAACCCCTTCAGTATAAATGCTGAACCCTTCATCTTGTCCTCTCTTCCTTCCCAACAAAAACCCTGATCCTCTTTCTTCTTTTGAGCCGGAAAGACATAATTCATGTTCTCACTAAATTCCCTGGGGATGAAAAAGCCAAACAGGATTTGAATTTGGCTCCCAGGTGTGATGAAGCAAATTTAATAATTCCAGTGTTGCCAAGAATATGATTGTTGTCAGGCCTAATACCCCATTTTCAGATTTATTGCCCAGCAGTGTGTTTCAGTGGTTTTAGAGAGTTCTCTGCAGCATATCTCTAAGAGATTAGACACTTCAAAGGTAGGTGAACCACTTCCAATAGGTAAAATGATCACCAGGTAATGAATGCTATTAATAATTTTCATTGTTAATGGTATTGTTATGTTCCCAGCAGAGCCATTTGGATATCAGAGATGTTTTTTCCTGATTTTTCCCCCTTTGGCAACCATATAGGGATGGGTGAGCACCTTAGTCTTATTCAAGCTCTTTCTTCTCTCTTTTAGATGAAGCCAAAGCAGGAGGAGCCAGGCCTCCCACTGGTTTCTGAAGAGAAAACCAAACCAAAAGCAGTTACCCAAAAGAAGCTCAAAGACAGTGCAGGTTGGCACACTTCACCCTCACCCAGAAGCATGTACCACAAGCTTAATTGCACAGTGCTATGTGATGGGAGTTACCCAGGCCAGCTGTCCTTGGTCCTCAGAGAGCTTGCAATTTAAGATGCATACTAATGTGGTCCAGGTTTCTCCATCTAAACTGCTTAATTAATACAATTGCCACTTGCAGAGGGCTCATACTGGATCCCTCTTTTGTCTAAATCCGTGGTTGGTAAACTGCGGCTCGCGAGCCACATGTGGCTCTTTGTGGCCCCTTGAGTGTGGCTCTTCCTAAGCCTTAGGAGTACCCTAATTAAGTTGATAACAATGTACCTACCTATATAGTTTAAGTTTAAAAAATTTGGCTCTCAAAAGAAATTTCAATCGTTGTACTGTTGATATTTGGCTCTGTTGACTGAGTTTGCTGACCACTGGTCTAAATGAATTTAAAACCAGAGGTGGTTTGTGTTTGTGAGTTTCTTCAATCCTCTCTAACTCTACTGTACATGCTGAGTTCCTTAGTGAGCTCAGATATTTGAGGGCAGCCAATAATTTCCCTTCAGCATTCCCCCTCAGCAACAGAACCAGATAATAATTACAGAATTGGCCCAAAACTAGTTTGTTTGTTTTTTTAAAAAAAATATTTTTATTGATTTCAGAGAGGCAAGGAGAAGGGAGAGAGAGATAGAAACATCAATGATGAGAGAGAATCATTGATTGGCTGCCTTCTGCACGCCACACAGTGGGGATCGAACCCTCAACCAGGCATGTGCCCTGACTGGGAATCGAACTATGACCTCCTGGTCTACCACTGAGCTATGTCAGCCAGGCCCAAAACTAGTTTTTGAAAGTTGCTTTTCTCTTCCTGTAGAGAAGTGGTTCCCAACGTGAGGCACATGCCCCACAGGGGGGTAATTTGATTTTTAAGGGGGGCAATTTGATTTTTAAGGAGGGCAATTTGAGAATGAGTTATTAACAGTGAACTTTGTGCATTTCTTATGGTTCTAGGGACCTAATATACAGTATATAAATATATATTGTGACATATTTATGCATTTCAGTTCTCTATTGTATGTTTTGAAACTTTATTTGCTATTTTTTCATGTCACTACATATTATTATTTTTTAAAAACAACTTCTTAGTGATTTCTTCCTTAGTACTTCAACTGTCCTTTTTAAAAAAAAATTTTCTCTTTCATGGATGCCATGTTCCTTGGAAGCTTGTTTAGACCAAGTTAATTTCCTTATAGGCTTCCTCCACATTAATAAGAGTTGACTTTTTGAATAATAAGAATTATATGCCCCGGGGGGGGGGAATCAGGATTTTAGAGATGCTTAGGTGGAGCATGGTCCAAAAAAGGTTGGGAACCACTGCTGTAGAGAGAAAAGGTCTTGCATTAACAGTGAGACCAATTCCCATATCCATGGGCAAAGAGGGCTAGGGCAGCTGCAGACAGATGTGTTTTATAGTTGACACCCACCAAATCCCCAAATAATACCATGGGAGTGAAAATCTCTGTGTGTGTGTATAGGTGGATGTTGGCTCCAGCTGATGGCAACCTCATTTCAAGCAATACTTGATAAAACAAAATCCCAGTTCCATAAATTAAGTCAAACAATTATTTCATATTTTTCCACAAAGGAGTTCAAAGATAGGATATTCCTAAACAAATTTTTTCATGGAAACTAACAAAACTGTTCTGCAGAGAGAGAAAAACAGAGAAAGAAATGAGTAATTCCTTTTTACTTTCTTTTTATTGTTTTTTTCATATTTACTTTTAATATTTGTCCTTTTATGCACAGAGGATAGAACTGATTCAATGTTGATGGGGGCAGATACTGATTGGATTTGCACATAATGGAAATAGTTTGGAGTGAACCCAGCTATGCTCAGTGCTGTATGCTGGATATGAAACCACCAGATGGAGCTAGGGATGCAATGGATGACGGGGGAGGGAAGGCAGTGAGGGTTTTCCCACCTGGGCATCAAGCTGAATTCCTTAGTAAAAAATATAGCAAGGAGCTCAGCTGGTGTAGTTCAGTGGTTAAGCATTAACCCAGGGACCAAGAGGTCATGGGTTCAATTCCCAGTCAGGGCATATTATATGAAAATTAAGTAGAATTAAGTAGAAAGTACAAATACTAATTAGAAAGTAAAATTTCCCCTTGCCCTGCTCCAGTTGGTTTCCTAAAAGATAATCATTGCTGCAAGTTCAAAAATTTTCTTTTGATGTGTCTCACTCCTAATGGTGGGCAATAATGATATAATGATAATGAGCCAAACTTAGAATCAGTTTATAAAACTGGGATTTTACTTCACTTTTAGTGACCAGTTGCTCTAGCTTCTGATTAGCTACTTCTTCATGCTAGAAAATTCAATACCAAATAGGTACCCATTAGACCAAGGCAAATTGTTCTTATTTTGGGAAGTCAAAAACACACATATTTTTCCTTTTCTTATTTCTATCTGGTACAGGTCCCTCAAGTCAGGAACAGAGCATCAAAACTGAGATTTATAAGACAACAGACCAGGCTGCAAATGCAGATACTGTTGAGAGTCCGGGCTACTCATGGCCAGCAGCATATGGGAGACGGTGTGGAAAAAAAGAATCAAGTGCTTCAGAAAAGAATGAGTGTGGATCCAAAGGATGGGGCTTTATACAACCTAGTCGAAGGCCTAGCTTAGGTAATAGAGCTGGGTACTCATCTGCTGATAAGATTGCCAGGGATAGCCCTTTCTGGCGCTTTTCCTTGGAGAGACAAGTCATGAAGCAGCCCAGAGCTCCACAAGTAGAAACCGCTACTCCTCATGAGTTGCTTTCAGATGAAAATGACATGAGAAGGAGAATGGCTGGTTTAGATTTTAAAACAAGAAAAGCATCATTATCATATCTCAGACCTAAAGACATGAAAGAGTCCATGGCTAGTGGTCCATCACAATACCACGAAGATGGAACTAAGAAGTCAGAAGCCATAACTTCTCTTTCATCAGTGGTGGAAAACCCTTATAGCCAAGAAGTCATCATGTTTTCAGTGACAGAGAAGGCTCAGGTGCATATCGATCCTTCTCATATTCAGTCAGAAGAGGATGCTTCCAGCTTTGATTCAAAAAATGACCAATTTGAAATGAAGTCAGCTCAAGATAACTCAACTATCTGCGAAGAAACACCTTCTGGAAATGTCATCCAGGCCTTTCCAGCAAGTGTTTTGGATATGGCAAGTGCTTTGCCAGAGGGAGGAATTTCTGTAAAGAGGCTGCCTCCCAGAAGCCTTTCCCAATCTTTGGAGAAGCCAGAAGCTGAAGAAGTCTCCTCATATTCAGACATTGTTTCAGGGGTGGAAAGTGGTTCTTATCAGCAGCTGACTCCTGGATATGTTTTCCAGTCTTCAAGGAAGCCCAAAGATGAAGAATTATTCTCAGATTCAGAGAGTGCTTCTTCAGAGGAGGGCAATGGTTCTGAACAGAAGCTGGATCCTGAATATTCTTTCCAGTCCATGATGAAGTCCAAAGATGATCAAGAAACCTTCCCAGATTCTAACAGTTTTCTTGGGAACTTATGCAGTTCTCATGAGCAGCTGGCTCCCAGATGTGCTTCCCAGGCTTTGGAGGAGCCTGAAGACAAAGTGCCCACAGAATCAAATAGGAATTCTGAAAAATACAGTAATCCTAATGATTGGAGCAGTTCTGAGGAAGATATGCCTCCCAGACATCCTTCCCCAGCCTTAGGGATGCCCACAGCCCAACAGGAAATCTCAGTTTCAAAGAATACACTTGAGGAGGAGTTGGTTGTATCTGTGGAGCAGACTCCTCCCAGACACCTTCCTCAGCCCTCTGTGAAGCCATCTGTTCAGCAGCAACTCGCCTCAGGTTCAGCAAATGCTTTTTCAGATTGGGTGTCAACGCCTCCCATGAACTTTTTCCATCACTGGCTGAGCCCTACATCCGAGGAAGAAGCATCTGCAGGTCAAGAAAATATTGCTCCTGAGTGGGGCATTTTTATGGAGCCGCTGCCTCCCCGAGTGCATTCAAGGCGCCTGATGAAGCGTAAAGTTGAGCAACCAATCTCCTCAGGGTCAGAAATTGCTACTATTGAAGGGATCATGTCTACAGAGCTGAAGCCTTCAAGAAATAATTCTCAGCACCCAGTGAAATCAATAGCTGAACAAGAAATCTCTGCAGGTCCAGAGAGCACAGTTGTTAAGGGGAGCATTTCTATGGAGCCTCCTTTTCCTAACATTTTTGCCCAGCCCATAATGAACCCAAAAGTTGAACAAAATGTGTTCTTAGGTTCAGAGGGTGCTGATAAGGCCATTTTAGTGGAGATAACACTCCCTGAATGCTCAACAAATCCTCAAGACCAGCATGTCTTCTCAGAGAACACTGCTGGTAATAAGGACATGTTTGTGGAACCCCTGCCTCCAGACTACCCTGTCCAGACATTGGCGAAGCTTAACTTCCAGCCACAGACTATTTCCAGCAACCCAGGGAGTGCTTCCACAGAATGGAGCGATCCTGTGGAGCTGATGCCTCCCAGACACATAATGGGCTCCTGGGTGAGCACCAGCTTTGAACAACCCTCTGCAATTCCAGAGAGCACTGCTGTGGAGTGGGGAAACCCTACAGAGCCACTGCTTCCCAAAATGTCTTCTCAGTCCCTAAGGAGACCAGTTGCTGAGCAAGAAGTCTTCTCATGTTCGATGAGCGCTTCTGAAGAATGGAGTGGTCTTGTGCAGCTGAAGTCTTCTCTATACACTTTGCAGCACTGGGTGAGCCCTAAATTTGAGCAACAAACCAATGCAGGTCCAGAGCCTTTACAGTGTTGCATGAAATCAGTAGTCAAACAACCAATCTCTGCAGGTCTAAAGAGTGTTGCCATTGAGGGGGACACTTCTACAGAGATGCTGCCTCCCAGACATTGGTCCATTGTGAGACATAAAATCCAGAAAATGATGCCAACTTCTGAGAATGCTGTTGTTGGGTGCATTTCTGAGAGGCCACTGCCTATCGAATATCCCACCCACTTCTCAAAGCCTAGCATTCAAGAAATATCCTTACATCCAGAGAACACTGCTGTTGAAGGAGGCATGTCTAAGAAATCACTACATCCCAAGTGTCCTCAGTCATTTGTGAAATTTATGGCACAGCATGTCTTTTCAGAGAGCCCTAATATGGAGGAGCAGGTTTATGTGGATCCTCTGTCTTCTAATCAACCTTCCAAATATTTGTTGAAGCCTACAGTTGAGCACCAAGTTTTCTCAGGTTGTGAGAGTGCTGATATCGAGGGAGACATTTCTTCAAAGCTGGTGCCTGCAAAATGCCCTTTACAGTCCTCGGGGAGGCTTGAAGACCCACAAGGAGTTTTCTCATATTCAGAAAATGCTCCTGTTAAGTGTAGCTATCCCCAAGAGCAACTGCATCCTGGATACCTTTCCGAGGCATGGGGGAAGCTTAAGTGTGAGCAAGAAGTCTCCACAGTTTCTGAGAGCTCTCTTAAAGAATGGAAGAGTTCTGAAGAGCAGCTGCCTTCCAGAGGCCCTATCCAAGCTGAGGATGGGGCTGAATTCCAGCCACAGATGTCCTCATCAGGCTCAGTCAGTGTATCTGTAGAGAGGAGCAGTGCTGAGAATCGGTTGCCTCCCAGACACCCTTTTCAGGCTTTTGCAGACCCTCAATATAAGCAACAAGTTTATTCAAGTTCCATGAGTATTGCTGCCAAGGGAATCATTGTTGAGAGCAATCCTAGCAGCCAAGCCCTTCCAAGAGGTCCAGCTTCTCCAAGCAAAACTAGGGGACACAGCCAAGACTCTGAAGACCTCTTTAAGAACATTTTGACTCCTGATACCAAATCTGTGAAGTTCGCCCTTGCTCCTGCCTGGCCACCATCCACTTCTGGGGACACTTACACTAAGGAGGATGTTCTTGAGAGTAGTGATCAAAATAACGACTATTCAAATTTATCCAACAGTGAGGCTGATGTTGAAAACCTCTTTGGAGTTCGACTGAAGAGAATCCCTTCCTTAGAGAAGTACAAGAGTGAGGAACAAAACCATTCTACCAAGCTTCCTTCACTCTCCTTAGACCCAGTTTCATCTTACACAGACAGAGAACCACAAATCATAAGTGCTTCCCAAGGGCTCCTGGGCATCTCCAAGAACCTTACCACAACATCTGACATTGCAGAGAAGCAAGAGAGCAAGCCCAAATCTGACAGCATGCTCAAGAAGAAACCTGATTACAAGATCCCAGGTGAGACTATCTTTCCAGATGGCAGTTAGGTACCAAGTGGAGGGAAGAACTGTAAATCAGTCTTGAATGGGAAGAAGTCTGTTCTAGCCTTGCCTGCTGAGTTTTTCCTTTGATAGGGCTGGCTTGTTGATTTAGGGACAGGATAGTGCCCCATTCTAGATTAAGGGATTCTTTAATGGACACATGACCATCTTCCCATTCCCTCTCTCCCACTCTCTGTACACTTTACATTTGGATAAAATGTTATGATTTTCTCAAAACACTTTTACATGTATTATGCCCCCCCACATACCATGTGGATTTTTAAAGACAGCTCATTAATAGAACACTATGTTCAGACTCTCAGCTTGAAATCTTAATTTACTGTAAGTGGTTGTACTTCCAGAGCTTCTTCCCTCTCCTGAAATGTCTAAGAATCCAGATCTAGGTGATCTTTTGAGCACTAATCTCTCCCAAAGTCTTTGCATCTTCCAACTCACAATCACATAGTCATGTATATGCCTATAACCACACCCATGTACCTACACACTTGCATAGGGATCTATGAAGTAACAAATGCTGTAAGCATTTCCTTGGAGTTAGAGGATTGGCATTAATGGTCAATGACCTGAACCTCTGGCCTCCTAGGAATTTTTCCAACCCGCCTGGCAACCATTGTCCTATCATGATTTGGAGATAGGAAGAGGGATGGACAAGGAAGGGAAAGGTACCAGTAAGAGAACAGTATGTAAACTTTGAAGTACAGCTTCTTATCTATCCAAAGAACTCCTTCCTTACTAGGTTTTGTGGAGGGTACAAAAGAAGGGGGCTCTTCTCTATGTGAGATCTATTTTTTCACTGGGCAATTCACAAGGATCCCATTGGGACATTATTATGGGTAGGCCCCAGCCAGCCTCAAGACTCTGCCTGCCTCTTCCAGTTCTAACTCTTTTAATTCCTTTCTCAGGAAAGGCTCCTGGTAAACTATCAGGTTATGCCACCTTAGACCCATCTTGGATAACCAGGGTCAAGCAGAAGGAGAAGAATTCCCCGACCCAGGCTCCTACGAAAGAGCTGAATATAGCTGGAGCAAAGGCTGACACTAAGGTGCCTAGATATGAGGTAGGATCTGGGGAAGCCCACAAAACACTCCCACAGGTTGCACTGGAAACTTTTCCAGGCATACATCTCCCCACTTCTTTGCATTAATCAAGACAGGAGGACTCTTCAAAGGAAAAGACTTGCTTTGTACTCAAACAAATGTGCCCCGCTTTGTGCTCTTAAAGAGTGTGTGAAAGTAATGAATGTGAAAAGATTCTATAAATCAAATCCTGTCCTAAACATTCTAAAGCAGATTCCATGAAATTGGTTGAGAAATAAGGAGTAAGTCATAAAAAATCCCAAAAGATTTTTTATGACTAGAGTGAAAGTTTTTTATGACTGGGGTGAAAGTTGAAGAACTATTCTTACAGATATTTTAGACACACACACACACACACACACACACTAATTTAGATCAGTATGGAGAGGTTAATTTGAAAAGCTTACACTAGACAATTTTGAAAAGACCTATAATTATATTATTTTCTAATGCAAGGAGTGCAAGTCAGATGACAACAAGTTTTGCTCAATAGAAATCCTATGGAACTCACTTCAGTTAATTGATAAAACTTGTTTGTAACCACCACATTCTGTTAGTTTGCTGTTAAGTGCTAGGGAAAAGGTTGTTCTCAAGATAAATAATTCTCATGTCAACCTGTTTACACTATTTGTGTGATTAGACAAACTTTTTTCCAGATCTGAAAAGTGGTAAACTTGAACCAGCTTAGGGTTTGTGAACCTAAATTCTGAACCAAGAGGGCTCTCACTGCTATTTCTTTCCTTATCTTTTTCTATCTCTATCACTCCATATCTTTCCTTTTTATTAATTTTGGCCTCATAATACCCAAGGACAGGGCTTATACCTGTGATCATCTGAATAAGTAATTGGCTGTTTTCATGTTAGGCCTTACAAGCTTCCTGTTTTCATTTTTGTATTAAAGGGAGCTGACCTTGCAAAACAAAGCCAACAAAGAGAGATTTCCACTTCCAACGTCAATAGACAGGAGAAGAAGGCAGAGATGAAGTTACCTGACTCTATCAAAGCAGGTAAAAACACTCACCTAACCCCCTCCCCCAAACAGCCCTGGAAGAATGCTGTGAAACTCTTGCATTTTCAAGCTCTGACAATATATATCTTCCCACCTCCAACTCCAAATCAGCTTCAGGAGTCTCTCATGGCTCTTCCATTAGGTACAGATATTTACTTGTTTTAGGAAAATCCAATCATTATGGCTGTTATAAGTCCAGTGTATAACTTTCAGAATAGCTTCCATTTTTTTTACCCTATTGAGGAAATTGTGTAGGTACAAAATTATGATCATGTACTAAAATGTTTCTGAGGCTAGTATTCAAGAGGAAAGAACCAAGTTACTTTTCAGTTCACAGGAAAGCAGTGTGTTCTCATCTTCTCTATTTCCAATGAAACTATTAAGAATAATCCACTCTAAAGATCCAATGGTATTGAATTGTTTTTTTAAAACTATTTAAAAAGCTTGTTTTAGCCCCTCTATATTCTAAACAGAGGTATGAGAGGTGGGGGAAATGTTGAAAGTGGAAAAAAACATTATGATGGAATAGAATAGAGTGTGATTTCATCAGCAGAGTTATATGCCAGAGAGTTGTTGTTGTTGTTTTCAGCAAGAACAAGGGCCCAGTACAATGGATTTATATTGAATTATCTTTGTCCTTTTCTTTAGTCCCCCTCATGAAGAATTAGACTAGGAATTTGGTAACCCATTGTCTGGCCATAAAATAGTAGCACCTGACCTGCTCATAGTTATTAATAATCTCATGGACACTATATTCCTGCCAAGTGGTTCTCAAGTCACTGTTTTAGAAAGCTCACTGGTAAGCTTTTAGGGGTAGGGGAGGCTGGGGGAAGGTCAAGGAGGGAAAAAAAGGAGACAGATGTACTACTCTTTGTAATATTTTAAGCAATTAAAAAATTAAAAAAAATTACAGATGGTCCTGGCTCCATTGCTAGAAATCCTAATTCAGTTAGTTCAGGAAATGACATAAGCGTTGGTATTTTTATTTATTTTTTTTAAAGAATAGTTTATTGATTTTTAGAGAGAGAGAGAAACATCAATGTAAGAATGCAACATCGATCAGCTGCCTCCTGCATGCCCCCACCAGGGATTGAGCCAGCAACCTAAACATGTGCCCTGACCGGGAATTGAACTGGCAACCCGTTGGTGCACTGAACGATGCCCAACCAACTGAGCCATGCTGGCCAGGGCTGGGCCTTTGTATATTTAAAAAGCTCTAGGAAATTCAAATGTGTAGCCAAGATTGAGAAGCACTGATTGAGTCTAAGCCACTAAGTTAATCAACCATAAAACAGGATGAGGAAAGGAGTAGATTTGGGGAATAGGGAGGTAAGTCTGCTTGGTCAGAGTAGTTGGTACAGTGTTATTTAGCATAGACTTTTACAGAGTTGAGCTACTTTATCATCATTTATGTCACACAACATCATAGATTAGAGAAAGAAAAATAATATTGGAAATTTAAAAAACTGAAGATACCATATAACATGATTTTTCTCTGATCTCAATTCAAAAGTATAAGCCAATCCAGTAATAACCACCCAAACATTGGCAGTTACAGCTGTAAGCATTTTTCTCTCAGACCTCCCCTTGTCCACATCCCTGTGCCATAGCCATATTGATTTTACCCCTTTGCCACACCACCCATTGCATTTTCCATACATTAAGTTTTAGAAAACAGAATAAACATGAAAGAAGGAAAATTTTATTGTATTCTTTAAACATAGCTCAGTACCTCTAGGGCTTCTTACTGCTTGTGTTATTTGCTGTGGTTCCAGTAGGATATGAAAATGAGGAGATAATTGAAGTGCTTGCCATGAGAAAAGAAACCAGAAAACCTTCAGCTCATCCAGCCATGTTCCAAGAGCCAGATGAGCCAATCTGGTTCTCCATGGCCAAGAAGAAAGCCAAAGCATGGAGCCACATAACAGAAACCATGCAATAAATAGCTCCTGGGTGGAGCATCAGCATTTCAAATGATAATTTCCAAGAGCTTTATTAATGCTATGCACTGAATTATTTAGATATGTAACCATTTTCTAATAAGAAAAAAAGCCTTACAATGGTAATTAAAGCTAATAATTATGTGAGTGAGACAAATGCCACAAATGCCTAACGTTTAGTTCAGCCACTGCCAGCATCTGAAAACCCAGCATTTCCTCTATAAAAACTATGTAAAATGTTTGCGGTACTATAGAATTTTGAAATCTTTAACGTTGGACAATGTGTTTTAGAAGGACAAAAGCAAAAACATTTTGTTGGAGCAACTAAGATAGGGGTCATTTCCCTTAATCAAATAAATTAATTCTAGTGGAAATGTCCAGATCATTTGGCCCAAGGATTGGCTTTTAGGTTTATGAGCCTAGTTAAGTGCTTTAGTTTTTGGTTGCTGCTCCAAGCTTTACCAAGGCCCCTAGAAGAGGTGGTGGAAGTGAAAATCCTGGGTCTCCAAGAAAAATTTTGCACAGCCCATCCCTCAGTCAGCCCATTGCCCTTTAAAACACCTTCTTTGTATACCTGGGAAATCTCAATGCCTGCAATTTATTCAGAGCTCTCTCTTTACACATTCACCATATCAATCTGTCACAGGTCTGGCAGCAGTGAGTACCTTCCTGTGAGGCAGAATATTTCTTGGAGATTATCATGCTCCTCTGGATGGTTAGTTCACCAGTCTTTGACTGCTTTCCCCAATGCCACTGTGACCCTCTCCAGTTGCTCAGAAGTGTACTAGATATCATATATATCCTGTTTGTTGTTGTTGTTAATCCTCAACCAAGGATATTTTCCATTGATTTTTTTTAGAGAGAGTGAAAGGGGTGGGGGAGAAAGAGAGAAACATCAATCTGAGAGAGACACATTGGCAGTTGCCTCCTGCATACGCCCCTACCAGACCAGGGATGGAGCCTGCAACCGAGGTACATGCCCTTGACCGGAATCCAGTCTGAGACCCTTCATTCCATGGGCAGACACTCTATCCTCTGAGCCAAACTGGCTAGGCCCATATCCTATTTTATAAGCACTAAAGACCCTGTTGAAATTCAAAATTCTGTAGATGCCAAAACATATACTTTTAGTCAAAATACCTTCCATGAAGGAAGTCTGGGACCACTGGAGAGATGCCTTACCCCCTGGCTCCAGATTGAAGGTGAAGACTCCTGCATAGCCTAGTTTCTTTTCCCTTCCCCTCAGAAAACTCTGTTTCACAAGATTTTAGCCCAAAGCAAGACTGCCATAGAACAGTTAAATTTCTGGTAACTGGAAGCCTTGAGTGATTAAATCAGCCTCTTCCTGCCCTCTTTCCTGAAGACACACATCTCAAAAGTTTGACAGCCCTCACCTCCTCAGTGAGTGACTCACCCTTCCCTCCTATTCCATTCTCCAAATATATCAAACACTAAGGGGGAGCTCCATTTGGATGCCTGTACAGCATCTAGCTCATTTTCTTAGGAGACCCAGAAGTGTCTTATTATAACTTTCACTGGGTCTGCCTCTACCACCTCAGGGCTACTTTGTTTAAAGAGAAATGCAGGGATAGATACAACTGCACCTTTAAGTTCTGAGTGGGATGTTGCTTCATGGAAAAGAAATTCAGATGGGCAGTGAGATGCTAGAGCTAATTTCAATGCTTTCAGTGCTTGGTTTTGCTGATGGTATAGTGTGACATTGTATAATCATATGCTGGATTTTGTATTTTCTCTATAAAACTATTTTTCCTGGTATTGTATCTTTATCCTTTTGATAATGTTAGGTTTTTGATTGATTTGCTTTGATTTTCTTTGTATTCCCATAGTGAATAGTTCATTAAGATAGATACCTTTTACCCAGGTAATCATGTAGATAAGTTGCTATACCTCCCTTCCCCCTTTTCTCAGGGTGGACCACTATTAGGTTATTCTCACTCTAAGAACACTCCATTAACAATTTCTTTTCCACAGGTAATAACAAAACTCTGTTTTAAAGTAGATGTTAAGTTTTTTTAATGCCTGTAGACACATTTTGACAAGTTTTCAGTTTTTAGCATTCTTGATTTTGGCTATATGCAAAGCAAATAAAATAAATAAAGCTTGTTCTGTAGTTGTCTCTGTCTGTCACATGGGGAAGGAAATCAAGTAAAATATTGACTGTTCAGACCAGAGGGTTATCAGAGAAGCAGAATTATCTTAAGAAGTTGTGTATGGCATAACCAAGTTGTGCCTGACCAAGCTGATGGCCTCCAGTTGGGTATTTGTACAGGGGAAGGTGGTATTGAAGAAGAGGTGCTCATCTGAGTAAACACCTGGGGAGCAAAGAGACTGGTAGGAGAAAGAATGCTGATGGGGATGAGTGTGTATGTGGGGGAGGGGGCAAGATGCTGGTACTCCAGCCTGCCCAAGGGACTGGGTCCAAGTCCTAAAGCAATATGGGCTATTAGAACAAGCCACTATCAAAAGGAAAGGGCCCTGCTGTGCTTAGGTAACAACTTGTAACATGGAGTAATCAAGGGAAAGGGGTGATAGATCAGATATTTAACCTGGCCCTTCTGAAGCATTTGTAAAATTTTTTGGGTTCAGAAAAAGAGTTCAATTAGGGACCCTCATACCCATATGTATGAAAATATTTAAAATAACAAATAAACCATTAAGTAAAGTAAGTTGTATCTTCTTTATGACAAATGTACCTTCATAACCCCTGAAAAGCCAAGCAGGGATTTAGAATTCTGACTCCCCTAAGTCCTGCTCCAATGGTGTAGGAAGAGCTGCCCCCCTTCCCAATCACCTAGACCAGACCCATCCCCAGTTCTGGGCATATACTACCACCCCCTAGGCCTGGGAGCACAAATCCCAGCAATGTAGTCAGCCCTTCCAAGGACAGCTCCAAGAGAAGTACACAGGCCCTGGCAGCAGACTTGGGAGTGAAAAGGGGTGCCAGGTACCTGAAACATGGGCTAGCAGGGGCACACCCCTTGTTCCAGGGGCTGGGCTCCTGGCCCTGTAGGGAGGGGCATGGTTGGAAGAGGACAAAAGTGGGGACTCTAAAGCACGGAGCTCAGGACAGAAATTCCTCTTGCCTGGGTCTAAGAGCAAGACTATACTATCAGCTTACTAGTATACAATGTAAGCACTGAAAAATCAAAAACAATTTGGAGGTGCTCAAATCACACTATATGGAAAAAATGTCTACTGGCCTGCCCTTTCATTTTAGGTAATGATGACAAGGAGCCTGTGCCTCACTGTTTCACCATGTGGTTCCAGCCATAAGGAATACATAATACATTTTAAAACATCGACACACACAAAAAGTAATTGTGGGCATGTGAAGTTTGCTTTGCTTTAACAGAAGAATGGATAAACAAATTGAGGTACATGCATACAATAGAATATTATTAAGCTGTAAAAAGGAATGAAGTACAAATATATGCTACAATGTGGATGAATCTTGAAAACATTATGCTAAGTGAAAGAAACCAGACACAAAAGGTCGGCTATATGATTTTATTTATATAATATGTCCAATAATAGGTAAATTCATGGAGGTGGAAAACAGATTGATGGTTGTCAGGGGCTGGGGGGATAGGGAGATGGGGAGATGGAGAATGACTAATGGGAACAGGGTTTTGGAGTGATGAAAATATTTTGGAACTAAAGAGTTGATGGATGCACAAAATTGTGATTGTCACTGAATTGCTCACTTTTAAATGGTTAGTTTTATGTAAATTTCACCTCAATTAAAGAATGACAATATAAGTTAGAATATGAGATGTGCTACCATAGAATATAAGAGAAGGTATCAGTGCAATCAAGAAAGCGCTTAGGAAACCTTAACTAAATGCAAAAATGAGGCTGTCTAGTTTCAACTGCAAGAGCCCTGCCCCTTCTCTGATGCTTTGGTCAAATAGGACTCCACCTTTTCCCCCTTTAGACAGAGTCCACAGATTAAACACATTCTCTCCCTTTCCTCTTTTTATTTTTCTCATTTTTATTAGGAAATACCTCAGACTTACACAAAGATATAGGGAATAATATTATCAACATCTATGTATGTACCGCCAAGCTTTAGATATGTAACATTACATTTCTTAAGTTGAAGCCCACTGTTGAAGCCTCCTCAGCAAGATCCCCTTCCCTTTCTTTCTCCAAGACATAACCATCATCCTAAATGAAGTGTTTTATCTTTCCCACACATGCTGTTGCACTTGCCACATTGGCACACAGCTCCCATGAGCATGCTTTTTACTCCAGATACTTGTATCCACAATCAATGTATGGTGATCAGTTTGCATGGTTTTAGACTTCATGTACATGGTATTATGTTTGTATCCTTCTGGAACCAGCTTTCCCCCCTTATGCATTTTTCTGCTGCCATCACCCACTCTCAGCCCCCCTATCTCTCAGCCCCCGTGAGTTCTGGTCTCCGCAGTCCAGCCCTTGCCATCCTGTTCAGTTTACCTGCAACAGTTCCAAGCCAGTGAGTTAAGGCAGGTCCTACCTTGGGTGAGTCTCAGCCTCTTCCCCTGTGGCTTTAATAGTGCTTCTCATACCTTTAAACTAGTGCAGGGGTCCTCAAACTACAGCCCATGGGCCACATGCAAATACAAATATTGTATTTGTTCCCGTTTTGTTTTTTTTACTTCAAAATAAGATATGTGCAGTGTGCATAGGAATTTGTTCATAGTTTTTTTTAAACTATAGTCTGGCCCTCCAACGGTCTGAGGGACAGTGAACTGGCCCCCTGAACTAGTGCTTCTCAAGCCTGCACTGCATCAGAATCCCCTGCAGAGCCTGCTAAACACAGGCTGCTGGGCTACCCTTAGAGTTTCTGATTGAGTAGGTCTTGGGTGGAACCCCAGAATTCCTGGGTGATGCTCATGGTGCTGTTTTGGGGATCGAACTATGAGAACCACTGTTCCAAATCAATGTCTGGGCCCAGGCTCAGCAGCACCATCTGGCCTCCAGGCATGCTGGGCCACCTATGAGATTTCCTTCGAAACTGTTCTAGAGCCCCTCTGTCTAGCAGACATATAATGCAAGTCACGTGTAATTTTAACTTTTCTAGTAGCTGCGTCAAAAAAGAAACTGACAAAATTCATTTTAATAGTATATTTTAATTCAATATGTTATCATTTAAACAGGTAATCAGTAAATAGTTTATTAGTGAGAGCGGTGACACCTTTTATAGTTAAGCACATCTCAAATCAGACAGAGCAGCTCTAAAGGCTTGACATCAAAAATTGTTTCCAACTCGACATTTTAATTTATTTTGGACTGCCATAAAATAATTTAAAGCAGGCGTACAAAATGGTGGAAAGTGATACCTTTCAAAACAAAGAGGTAAGAGATATGAGTTGGGATTATTTATCTAACTAAACTCTGCCTGCATTTCAATTTATTAATTGAAACAAACTTATTTTTAATTAAAACAAATGCTGTCAAATATAGCTATAAGAAATAAAAGATGTCATTGGATAGCACTTTTTGGGTGATGAAGTTTGAAATGATATGAGTGTTTAATACAATTAACATGGATTTATGAAAATGAAAAACCTAAGAAGAGTGAACAAGAAATTCTTTCTTCTTTATCTTCTTTCTAGTTCTCCAAACTGCAAGATGAAATGAGAGAAAATTAACACTTACAAGGCATTAACCAGCTCCAATGACTTCTAAATCTAAGAAAATAGCCCTGTGTGTACCTGCTGCATTTGTGCGCTATATCCCAACAAGGAGAGAACAACACGCTTCCCTCTTGTAACCTGCCTTGCAGATCATTTGATTCTGTCCAAGAGATCTATTGTGACATTTGGTCCACACTAAAATGCCTTGATATTTGGTTCTATCCAGAATGCCCATGCTTAGGAAACATCCTGGGTTCAAAAAGCCCATCATGTTTATATACACTTCTGATTTATAGGATTAATACATAAAAATATAAAGTTTTATTGGTCCAATAATTGTATTCTGGTCTTATTGCCAATAGTAACCTTTCTTGCCTCAGTAGCCTAGCTTGTAATGGCACATGGGGTTAGGTAGACAGCTCAGGGCTTCAATCTTGCAGAAAAGCATAATTTAAATATCAAGGACCTTTTGGCATAGACCAAATGTCTCTGTGGACTTTTGGACAGGACCACATATCTGCTAATTGTTACCTGCACCTTTGGGTATAGGATGCTTCTATAACCCATGGCTTCCATTGTGATCATACCAACTTGTCTCCCTCTTGCCTAGCACCCCAAATGCCTTTTCTTTCCCTTGAGAGCCCACACTGGTATTTAAATAAATCTCTCCACCTTAAAAGCCTGTGCTCATTCTATAAGTGACACTCCCAGACCCTCAGTTTCCATATCACCCATATAAGAGGCTATTATAAAACATGCAGCTATGAAAGTGCCATAAAAGAGAGAAAGTTATTCATTTAAATATAGTCAAAGATAAGATAAACCTTGAGACTTAATTACCAATTCAGTGATTAACAATAATCATACTATGACTAAGCTTCTTTTCTTTTAACTGTCACATGAAATACAAAAATCTACAACCAAAAGTTTAGGTATTAATCATTAAATGTGGTCCTACTTGAAATTGTTATCTTTTTGCTATTTGTAAGTTGTCCTTGTCTCCTAGTTCTTATAGGAGACGAATTTCTTTTTTTAAACTTTATTTTTGTTGTTGACATGATTACAGATGCCACCATTTACCACCCCCCTTTGCCCACCTCCACCCAGTCCCTGCCCCCACTTCCCTCTGGCCATCCCCACCTGTTTGCTGTGTCTGTGGGTTAGGCATATATGTTCTTTGGCTAATCATTTCACCTTCTTTCATCTAGTCCTTTCCACCCCCCTCCTGTCTGACAGCTGTCAGTCTGTTCCATGTATCCATGCCTCTGCTTCTATTTTGTCAGTTTATTTTGTTTATTAGATTCCACATGTAAGTGAGATCATATGGTATTTGTCTTTCTCTAACTGGCTTATTTCACTTAGTATAATAATCAGACTGCATTTCTATGGCCAAGCAATGAAGGCCCAACCACACAGCCCAGCTACTTTAGCTGCTGCATCTAGTAACTGCTTTCTAAACAAATACTGGCCTTAGGTACTGATTTCCTTAGTCTTTACAGATAGAGGACAGAAGACCTCATGAGAACAAATGAGTAGCCATGAAGTATAGTTCAGTACATAATGTGTTTTATATTACTAGGTGTATGAGTAGTCTATGAACATTCTAAGTAGTTAAAATTGAATTTCAAAACTAATTTTAAACAACATTTTTAAAATTAATTTACTGGGAGAATTAAAAAAAAATAAAGCTGTCAGTAACAGGTAAATGCCAGGAATGGTTGGGTGATATTCAAAGCGACACACAGATACCTGGATTTGCTGGCTCTGCTCTCTGCTGGATCCACAACCATTTCAGGTCCTTCCTGTTTTTGGTTCAACTCCTCGCTGTCTTCCTTACTTTCAGCACCCTCGGCCCCTTCTTCAGTTGTTTCTTTAGTGAAGAATAAGACAGACCTTGGGATCAGACATTCCCAGAAGAAAATCCCAGTTCGTAAAGAACGGGTTCACACATAAACCGCCAGGAGAAGCAGGAGGATGGAAGTAACTAGGAGAAGAGGAGCTGGGCACCTTCCTACTAGTTGCGGCAACACCCCCGTGGCCCGCACATTTCTGCTGCTCAATTGTTGCACGGTGACATTACTTCCCTTTTCGTAGTAAGTCTGTGCTGCTGGTGCCTTCTGGCCTTGCGGAGAAAAGGGATCTGAATAGCCAGGGTATCCTGTATGTTCTAGTCAGAACTGTCTTGGGGAAATAGTTTTGCCTCAGCGACAAATTCTGTGTGAAGCTCATTAGCCCCTCAACCCCCCGAATCTTTCATTTTTACAAAGTCCCCGGGATCAGTTCTCAAAGTGTGGGGATCAAGCCTTCAGAAGCCAAGAGCCAGCACCAGGCATGCCGTTTGCTCGTGCTCTTCCTTCCGTTCCCCTCCCCTTCCTCCCGGCTCCCTCCTGAGCCCCTCCCCCTGGGAAGTCGGACCTGGGTCTGTGGGCCTGAACTGCACTGGTGAGCTCCGCTGTCTTAGTGGAGGGCGGGAGAGGGCGCAGCGGAGGGAGGGCAGGAGAGAGCAAAGGACTTTTGGGGGGGGGGCGGGGAAGCCATAATGGGGGGGTTGGGCTTCTCCTGGGCCTGCGGTGTGTTGAGGGCACGGCCCACCCGAGTGAGCATGACCTCCGGTGCGCCAGCTGTGCCCACCACCTGCTCACAGGCGGCCCGCCCCCTCCCCGCCGTGCCCCGCCCCCCGCCCCCCCCGCGACCCCCGCCCCCCCAACCCCCGCGACCCCCCCCCGCCCCTCCGTCCCCCCGCCCCTCCGTCCCCCCCCCCACCTCGCGACCCGACCCGACCTTATCCCCTATCCGCTCCCCCAGATTCTCACCCTGGGGGGCTTCGGCCTCCTGCGTGGGCTCCTCCACCTCCTCCACCATTTCCCCAGCCGTAGACTCCTCCTCCACCTTGGCCTCGGGCTCTGGGGTCAGGAACCCCTCTCCAGAGCCTACGGCTCTGTCGCCAAGGCCCTCGGGCAGCACAGCTGCAGCCCCCTCTCCAGAGGCATCTGGCTCCGAGAGCACGCGGACCTGGGCCGCCTGACCTGGCAGGTGATGTCTGGGCAGAATGACACTGCGAAAGGCGTTGGGACGCAGGAGGATGTGGTCGTTGTTGTACAGACGGCGCAGCATTCTGCGCACCAGGTCCAGGAACATGATGTGGAAGCCCGCCAAGGGTAACACGTTGGGGTCCAGCAGTATGTTGTGGGGTCGCACCACGATCTCCTCCTCCTCTTCCTCCTCTTCCTCCTCTTCCTCCTCCTCCTCTTCCTCCTCCTCCTCCTCTTCCTCCTCCTCCTCCTCCTCCTCCTCCTCCTTCACCTCCTCCTCTTTCTCCTCCTCCTCCTCCTCAGCTGGGCCAATGTCAGAATCCTCTTCACTGGTACTTCCCTCGGGGTCTCCCACTGCCCCGGCCTCCTCCCTCAGGCTCTCTATGGCCGCTGAGATTTCTGCTGCCACCATGGCGGCGGCTGCGTCCCCCCCGCCCCCCTGGGGCATGGAGTTGAAGATCAGGGCATCCTGATCTCCATCTGCCCCTATCCAGGCCCCCGCCATTCGCACGGGACTCTCCCGGCCCCCTGGGGCCGGGTTCCCATCGTCACTGTCGGACATAGCAGCGGACAGTACCTCCTCAGGCAGCGAGCGGGCTGTGGCGTCGACGGCCAAGATGGCGCCCGGGAGCGGAGGCCGTTGACAGGGCCCGCCGGAAGGGGCGGGGCGGAGGAGGAACTGGCTGTCCACTGGCAAACGGCCTCTGATGGGCAGGTGTGGACGGCCAACCCACCCACCAAGGCTTCGCCACACCACGGGGGGTGGGGCCACGAGCGTCAACAAAGGGCCGGGCCTGCGCCTTACAAGCTCCAAGCTCATTGGCTGGGAAGCGAGGATTGACATGCCCTGTGTCCAATGGCAAAGGCCCTTAGCTTCTAGGATGGCTCACAATCAGCTCTCTTTTCTACGAGGCCTTAGGGTGCTGAGCTACCTTCAAGTCCACACTAGTCCTGTTCTTTCAATGTTGCAATTGTCTGAAATCTATAGTGCAGCAATTTTCAACAGTGCCATAAGACCTTTAAAAACATGCAATACCTGACTAGTTAGGGGCACTGATCTCTTTTCCCATTTAAAAAAAATTGACAGCCGTAACCGGTTTGGCTCAGTGGATAGAGCGTCAGCCTGCGGACTGAAAGGTCCCATGTTCCGGTCAAGGGCATGTACCTTGGTTGCGGGCACATCCCCAGTGGGGTGTGTGCAGGAGGCAGCTGATCGATGCTTCTCTCTCATAGATGTTTCTAACTCTCTATCTCTCTCCCTTCCTCTCTGTAAAAAATCAATAAAATACATTTTAAAAAATAATAAAAATATTGACAATGGGAGATATCTGTAATACTATCAACAATAAAAATATATTTAAAAAATTGATGACAGCCAACACCAGGGGCCCTCAAACTTTTTAAACAGGGGGCCAGTTCACTGTCCCTCAGTCCGTTGTAGGGCCAAACTATAGTTTTAAAAAAAACCATGAACAAATTCCTATGCACACTGCACATATCTTATTTTGAAGTAAAAAAACAAAACGGGAACAAATACAATATTTGTATTTGCATGTGGCCCACGGGCCGTAGTTTGAGGACCCCTGGCCAACACACTAGCTGTTATTGTGAATGAATCAATATTGTACCTATTTTTCTTAAATCAGTAATAAATATGTTTTTTGGTGTGCCACAGAATTTAAATAATTAGTTTATGGGTGTCATGAGATGAAAAAGGTTGAAAATCACTGCTGTAAAGGGCAGAGAGTAAAAATTTTGGGTTTGGTAACTCAGAGGTACATTTGAAACCACTATGTAGATACTCATTTAACAACCGAGAAAACAAATGTCCACAACTATTTTATTCTTGAAACTAAAAATATAATGCTAATTGAATACAATATTTATAATAAAGGTCTATTAATAAGAAGAGTGTAAGTCTTTTGGGAGAATAACATTTTGCTTAATTGGGGTTCAAAGTTAGTGATATCTATCAAAATTGATTGCATATGTTCATCTGTTGAACTGTAATGAGGTTTTACATAATTTATCTTTTAAAAAATATGGTGAGTGTTTTTTAAAGGGTTTAAAAAGCATGCTCAATTGCATACAGCTATTTCTCATTTATATAATAAATGCATTTTCATCTGCTTGAGTACAGCAAAGGGTTAGAATCTGAATCAATTTATGACTTCAGAGATGTGCTATTTCAAAAGTGTACTCCATAGAATTTACTTAACTGCTTCTACCACTGATCCTTTAAATAAGCAAAGCAGATGATATCATTCCTTGAATTTGTTTTTAAACACTAGCATTTTAATTGAAATACAGGTATAAATCAGAAATTCCTGGTACAGTGCCTGCACTTAGTCTTATTTAATATAGGAATTGGATGTACAATGAAAAAATTATCATTTTCTTTATCCTTGGAGCAGAGGGAAGGAGAGAAAGGAGAGGTGGAAATATGGTTGCAGTATTTAAGAGCTGAATAAGAGAACAATAAATCTTTCATAATGCCAACAACAACTGCACAATGAAGAACAACCTTGTATCTCATCAATTTTATAATTCATGCTCTATCAGAAGTTAGGTTCCCCTCTATGTATCTCAATTAATTCAAACCCCATACCCTCCAAAATACAAAGACAATTTAATTGGTATTCCCTAAGTAGAAGATCAGACATCAAAGGGAATTCCTCCTTCTGACATCTATTGATATGATTTCACCAAAGTCGAAATCTAACACTTAAAAATGAAATATCTTGGCCAAGTAAGAAACTTCAGTTTTTAGTGGTATTACCCCACTGTATTACATATTAAATCAAACCTAGCATTAAATATGCTTGCACAATTATGCTGTGAATTATATAATAGTGATGATGCTAGTGAAAAAGGACTATCATTAACCCAAGAAGAATAAGGGGAAGAATGTGAAAACAAGTAGGAAGCCAACAAAGAGTTGGTCATTTTCTGATGAGGAAAGGTAATTTTAAATATAGAAATATAAAAGGGGAAATATTACCTTAATCCTTCTATCCTATCTAATAAAAGACAAAGATGCAAATTGACTGTACCTTTGCTACGCCCACCAGCCAATCAGAGCAATATGCAAATTAACCACCAATAAAGATGGCGGCTAATTTGCATACTGTAGGCAGGGCAGGACAGTGGGAACCGCCATCCAGGCAGGGCTCAGGCGGTGCACGGCAATCGTGGGAGCCCAGCCCCGTGTGCAGCCCCAGCTGGCCCGGGGCTTAGGATGTGCGATCAGTAAAGCAGGACTGGGGATTGGTGAATAGGCGCAAGGCAGACCTCCTGGTCCTTCCCCTCAGCCAGCAGGCTCCTATGGATCTTCAGTTTCTACTGAAAGGAGTGTGGCGCCTCCACTGTGCCACCTCCCAGGACTCGGACTCGCAGGCTTCGGAGTGGAGACTTCAACAAGGCCTTCAGCACCTGCTCAGGGGAATAAAAACCGCCACCTCCCTACTCCACAGCTGCTTCTGTGTCTGCAAGAAACTACACATGATCCTCCTGTGACATGGGCGGGGCCAGAGCCTGAGTTGATGGGTTCCACTATAGTGATAGCAGCTGGACCAGTGCAGGGAGGGAGGGCGGGGAAGGGGCATGGGGGAAGCACTGGTTCCCTGCTCCTCCTCCCACAGGCATGGCCCTTGCTGCTGTTATGATAAAAGGAGTTGTGTTTTTCTAACTGTCTGGGTAAAGGAAACAAGTGTCTGTTGACTTCTGATCTTACTCTCAGAGCTGCCAGTTAATCCCTCTGGATGCATCATATCCAACCTCCAAAGGAAGCAAGGGGCAGGATCAACCTCCGTTCCATAGTTGAGGAAACTGACCAATAAACACATGTGTCTCATGCCTCAGTGTCAACTCCCACAGAAATCTCTGGGTAATGACTCAGATTCTATATCTAAGGGTATATTTTCTTCTGCTTTCATGTTTAATTCAGCCCCAGGAATCAAATAATACAATAAAGAATAAAATGAGTTCAGAGGGCTCAGCATTGTATTCCCAGAGCCTTTGGTCCCACACAAACCGCAGAGCTCAGTTATCCTGAGATGAAAGGAAAGGAAAGAGAAACGTGAAAGGTTTCCCAGCTCAGTCACAGAGACATCTCATAGCCACATATTAAGGACACGACATTAGCTTAGGGGTGGAAAGGACACAAATGGAATAGAAGATGGAGCCATTTGGAGTGAGCAGGCTAGCATGGGGGCAGTTGGGGGCAAGCAGGCCAGCAGGGGGGGCAGTTAGGGGAAAGCAGGCCGACAGGGGGGGGTAGTTGGGGTGAGCACACTGGTACAGGGGGCAGTTGGGGGTGATCAGGCTGGCGGGGGGGAGGGGGCAAGTTAGGGGCAAGCAGACAAGCAGGTGAGTGGTTAGGAGCCAGCAGTCCCAGATTGTGAGAAGGATGTCCGACTGCCAGTTTAGGCCCGATTGCTGTAAACTGGCAGTAGGACATCCTTCCAGGGGTCCCAGATTGGTGAGAGTGCAGGCTGGGCTGAGGGACACTCCCCTTTCCCCCCGAGTGCACAAAATTTTGTGCACCGGGCCACTAGTATGTTAATAATATGAAACATTTTATATATCAGACGAGAACAGAATTAAGTAATTCAACTCTACTGCAGCATTATAAATATCCTGTTCCCTTACTCACCACTGATGGCCTGCCTCACAGCTCACCTGCACTGCAGCTACCCCACATAAATGCCTTGATTACACAAAGTCCTTTGTCAGATTAGGCCAGTTTCCAGGGCACTGGCTTCTCATCTCACTCAGGCTTATGTCAAAGATGTAAATTTTGGCACAGGTGCCCAAGCCTCAGTGTTTCAAGGTATAGACCTTTTAGCTGATGCTGTACCATTACTATAGGGCCAAAGAGAAGAACAGTTATTATTAAACAGAGTTTGGGCAGTCCCAAAGTAACAAAAGAAATTGTGATATTTGCAAAGTCCATTGCCTTAAGAGATAAATATAAAAATATTGGTGCTAAACTTTTTCAAGCTGTTGCCAATAATACAAATGAAGATGCTGGGAATGGCACTACCACTACTACTGTACTGGCACACTATCTTGCCAAGGAAGGCTCTGAGAATATCAGTGACTGTGCTAATCCAGTGGAGATCAGGAGTGATGTGATGTTAGCTGTTGGTGCTATAATTTCTAAACTTAAAAAGCAGTCTAAACCTGTGACAACCCCTGAAGAAATAGCTCAGATTGCTACACTTTCTGCAAACAGAGACAAAGAAATTGGCGACATCATTTCTGATGTGATGAAAAAGGTTGGAAGAAAGGGTGTCATCACAGTAAAGGATGGTAAAACACTGAATGATGAATTAGAAATTATTGACGACATGAAGTTTGATGTGGGTTATATTTCTCCATACTTTATTAATACACCAAAAAGTCAAAAAAGTGAATTCTAAGATGCCTATGTTATATCTAGGGAAAAGAAAATTTCTAGTATTCAGACAATTTGTACCTGCTCTTGAAACTCCCAATGCTCACCATGAGCCCTTAGTCATAATTGCTGAAGATGTTGATGGAGAAGCTCTAAGTACACTCATTTTGAATAGACTAAGAGTTGGCCTTCACGTTGTAGCAGTCAAAGCTCCAGGTTTGGGTGACAATAGAAAGAACCAGCTTAAAGTCATGTCTATTGATATTGGTGGAGCAGTGTTTGGAGAAGAAGGATTGACTCGAAATCTTAAAGATGTTCAGTTTCATGACTTGGGAAAAGTTGGAGAGGTCATTGTGATCAAAGGTGATGCCATGCTCTTGAAAGGAAAAGGTAACAAGGCTCAAATAGGGGAAAACATACTCAAGAAATCATTGATCAGTTAAATATCACAACTAATGAATATGAAAAGGGAAAACCTAAATGAATGTCTGGTAAAACTCTCAGATGGAGTAGCTGGGCTGAAGGTTGGTGGGACAAGTGATGTTGAAGTGAATGAAAAGAACGAATAACAGATGTGTGCCCTCAATGCTACATAAGCTGCTGTTGCAGAAGGCATTGTTCCTGGAAGGGCTTGTGCCCTGCTTTGGTGCATCTGGCCTTGGACTCATTAATTCCAGCTAATGAAGGTTTTAAAA